CAGAGCTTGCTTTCTTCCTCTTTGATTCTTTTTTATTATGGTGAGAGAAATCCCAAACACCAAGAGACAGAAACTGATCAGGGGTTTCCTGGTCTTATTAGTGATGTTTCCAGCTTGTTATCCAAAGTGGGGCTTCTCCACTCTGGAATGGCTCCCTTAGCAACAGAACTGGAAAACAGAGGAGTTTGCCCTCCTTGGAGCAAAGCCTCTGCAGACTACTGGGTAACCGTCCATCAGATGGGAGTGTTTTGACCCTTCTTTGTGGATTCTTAGAGGATGGGAATCAGAGGTCCTGGTAGCTTCCAGCCATAATCTTTTATTACCCAATCTGGGATATTGGGCTAGCTTTCCCTGAATATTTTAGAGATCATGGCACATGTAGATTTTTAAATCATTTGGAGTAAGTAAATACAATTTCTAAACAACAGAGACTTTGAATAAGAGGTTGCAGACACTGCATGAAAATACATAAGCTAAAAGAAGAAAACACATAAGCTTTTTTTTTTTTTTTTTTTGGTTGGGTACTCAGTTCCTGTATTCTTGTTTAAAAATAGGCAAGAGTTGTAGACCATGAATCTCTTCTTCTCGAGAAATGGAAATCATTGTGTGGTATTATCAGGAGATCTTATACCCTGTGAAAGGCATTCTTCAGAGAATTGTCCAAAGTTGGAAGGTTCTAGAGGGACTTAAATGCCTACCTGGGGGGGTAAGGTTTGATCTAGTAAAGAGCTGAGAATTTCAGCACGAGAACGAATACTCCTAAAACCATGACTTAAGAGAGTCTACTATCTTTGTCCAGCAGTATGCATGAGACATGAATAAAGTTAACCTAGCCTTATAAAACAGTTAAGTAAGGAAAATCATGTTCATCAGGAAAGGATCTATATCTTTATATACAAAGAGTCATTATTATTTCTCTACTTAGCAAACTCTCCCAGTACCTTTAGAGTACTTACACTCTATCAAAATGGAGTAAGTACACTTCTCAGGACCATGTATTTTTTAATTACTTAGGAGGTGCACTATGTTTTATGTAGACTGACATGTTGTTGCAACGCCCAAATTTATTGTGATAGTATCTTTTTGGGGGTGAGGAGTAATTTAAAACACATTTTCCCCTTTAAGAAGGTCAAACTATAGGGCAAAATATCCTTGTACCTTTTATAAGCTGCTTATACTCCTAACACAGATTAACTTCCCAGCACATAAAGGGAATACTAGAAAACCCTTGCATGATTAAATATGCCTCTGGAGGATTAAGTTTTTCCACATACTTTTGAAGCCAGAGCTATGAATAATGTTTCAGCATTAAACTTTCTGTATGTCTTGATTATGGGGGAGGGTTTTGCTCCAACTGTTCTTGCTGTTAGTTTTTCTGCTATTCAGATTTGCAGCACTGCAAAATTATCTGTGGAAACATAGACTTGAAATCTGAAAGGTTGATTAAGGTACAACAAAGTATCATCTCTGGAATTATTCTAATTTTTTTCAAAGTTTTTATCCATTTTTCAAACCTGTTTCTTCTTTTTCCTTACTGAAAACCTGGCACAAAGTAGCTAATTAGTGAGCTTAGTGGTTCAGAAATAAGTGATCACTAAGCACATAGTATTTATCATTTTGAAAAAGATCACTTAATTTTCATGCATATTTTTCTAAGATAAAATTCTTTCTTGCAAGTAAAATTCTTTACTCCTGAGGGATTCAGTTACTAAGTGCCTTTTTATCCAGGTGTTGGGTTGTCAGGTTAATTTACTGGGGTTCATCAGCCAAAGGCTTTGCTTTGTGTACCTTGAGGCATACTGATCACCCTTTGCTACTCTGTGGTTGCCAGTGTATCTCTACCTTCCAGTCTGTAGGTCCTACCTTACCATCCTTGGCTTTCTTCATTGGTACTCAGCAGCCCCTTGATTTATTTGACCTCTCTTTTACCTTTATCTTTTCAATGCCCAAGTTTAGATGAGTCCTTTACCACATTTCTCCCAAAACTTGTATTTTCTGTCCTGAGAAAGGGCTTCCATTTCCTTTCTTGCATTTCCCACACAGCTGTCCCAGACCATCACCACCGTCCTGAAGCTCCATGGTCCACCCCATCCCCTTTTCTGGCAGCAGACCTTGCTGCCTGCTTTCAGACTCCAGGGCTTCTCACCCCCACCTCCCTACTTTTCTAACTTAACACTACAGGTGCTTTGTTTCCTGCTAAAGGAGGGCTGCTCCTCCTAGCTCCAGCTTCATCAGGGCTTCAGAGTTCTTTCTCTTCTTCTGAGACCTTTCTCCAGCACTGGGGGAAAAAACAGAGATTTTAATATTCAAATAAGTAATACATTTACATGGTTTTAAAAATTCAAGTAGTATAAAAGAATTTACAGAGGTAACTACTTGACACCAGTTGTGTGTGTGTATATTATTCCAGAGATCTTATATGCATGAACAAGCATACACATAGGTAAATTTCCCTTTCTTCCTCTTTCCTCCTCTATCTTTATTTTTAAAACATTAATAGTAGACACATGGTGTGGACATTGCTTTTAATATTTCTGCATGTCTTGTGGAAATAAGTTTACATCAATACTATAGAGCTACCTCATTCTTTTAATTATGCCCTTGATTGTAAATACACCATAATTTTGTTAACCAGCCCCCTAATAAAGAGTAGCTGCTTCTAATCTTTTGTTATTGCAAACAGTATTTCAGTGAGCATCATTACATGTTGATTTTTTTTTTTTTACTCATGGACAACTATATCTGTATGAAAAATCTTTGAAGTGGAATTGTTGCATCAAAGGGTTTATACATTTTCATTTCTTTATGGAGGAATTTTTAAAAATTGTTTTCTATTTCTTATTTTGCTTCTCCAGCATTTCTATTCATGTCCATTGATTTCTCAGATTTATCTTCAGTGTCTACTTTTTGATACATTCATCTCTATTTCTTCTGAGTTCCGAGAGAATTCTTGAGACATTCTGGTTCACTGTTTCCTTTCTAACATTCACAATTCCTGTGATCTTTGAATTTTTAAATATGATAATCATTATTTTGTTCGCTTCTAAGAACTCATACATTCTCATATTGTTCACCTATCAAGACTGCAGGCCTTTGGGATCCCTGGGTGGCGCAGCGGTTTGGCGCCTGCCTTTGGCCCAGGGCGCGATTCTGGAGACCCGGGATCGAATCCCGTGTCGGGCTCCCGGTGCATGGAGCCTGCTTCTCCCTCTGCCTGTGTCTCTGCCTCTCTCCCTCTCTCTCTGTGTGACTATCATAAATAAATTAAAAAAAAATTAAAAAAAAAAGACTGCAGGCCTTTAATCTTTTCATCAAAGGACAACATGTTATACAAAAAAAGTGCTTGATGCCTTTTCATAAAGCACACCAACACCCAGATAAAGAAACAAATGTTGTCAGTATCTGGAGCCTTCCTTGTTCCTCTTCCAGTTACAGTCCCTCCATGAGTAACCACTCTCCTGATCTAGATTCATTTTGCCTGTTCTTTTTTTAATTTTATTTATAAAAATGTAACCATACAGTAAATATTGCTTCTCTCTTCTTTAACATGATGTTTGTAAGAATTATCTATATTGTTGCAGGTAGGTATAGTTTGTTTTCATTGCTAAGTAGTATTCCATTGCATGAATATGCCAGTTTGTTCATTCATTCTACTATTGATGGACGCCTGAGTAGTACCTAGTTTGGACTATCATGAGTAGTGCTGCTATGGACACTTTGGGTCTTCTGATGCACAACTGTATACCTTTTTTGTAGATTATTATATTAATATATTTATATATTATATATGTTATATATATGTGTATAAAATCATGTCTAGGAGTATAATTGCTTGATCACAGGGCATATAAATGTTAAGCCTCTAAATCGCTTTCTCATTTTGCACTCCCCTGAGAATCCTAGTTGTTCTACATTCTTGCCAGTACTTGGTATCTTCTTTTTCATTTTAGCCATTTTTGTGTGTAAAAAGTTGGATTTCATTATGGTCTTAGTTTTCATTTCCCTAATCACTTGTAATGTTGAGAGCAACTTTTCATATGTTTATTGGCCATTTAGGTATCCTCTTTTGTGACATGCCTGGTGAAATTTATTTTTACATTTTTAAGGTATTCTGCTTTATATATATATATATATATATATATATATATATATATATATATATATATATATATGGTTAGCCAGTAGATCACATTTCCCACCCATTTATCCCTCTCTTTGCCTTTATCCTTTTTAATTTTTTTCTTGACTCTTTTCTGGCTTGTTATCTTTTTCCTTAACAAGTGAACATTAGAAGTAGGTAACCCCAGGGGCACCTGGGTGACTCAGTGGTTGAGCATCTGCCTTTGGCTCAGGTTGTAATCCAAGGGTCCTGGGATCGAGTTCTACATTGGGCTTCCTGCAGGAAGCCTTCTCCCTCTGCCTATGTCTCTGTCTCTTTCTCTGTGTCTCTCATGAGTAAATAAATAAAATCTTTAAAAAAAAAAAAGTAGGTAACCTCAGCTTTTCTGGGAATTTTAGTGAATTTGCATGAGACTTAAATTTTATTTGAAAAAATTGTCATCCGAACTGGAAGACAATGTCATGGTTTCTAAAACGAGAAAAATGATAAATACTAAGCCCTCCCAGTTTTTGCCCACCAGATTGCATTATTATCCCCATATTTAATTCTAGTTTTAGTTTCATTTTTGACAGGTGCTTGTAGAAGTGAAAATATTGTAATATGCTTTTAAAACCTGCAACCTCGGGAACCCTGGGTGGCGCAGCGGTTTGGCGCCTGCCTTTGGCCCAGGGCGCGATCCTGGAGACCCGGGATCAAATCCCACATCGGGCTCCTGGTGCATGGAGCCTGCTTCTCCCTCTGCCTATGTCTCTGCCTCTCTCTCTCTCTCTCTCTCTCTCTCTCTGTGAGACTATAATAAATAAAACAAAATTAAAAAAAATTAAAAAAAAATAAAAATAAAACCTGCAACCTCTTTTTAAAAATTATAAATGTTTTACAGGTTCTTGATCAATATGAACAAGAAGGATTTAATTTCCTAGCGAAGGTGTTTAATTCTTCACATTCCTTCTTAGAAGATTTGACTGGTCTCACATTGCTGCATCAAGAGACCCAAGCTGCTGAGGTAAGAATAAAGAAAGCTCTCTGTACTGAGGACTGGTGTGTTTGAAACCTACTTGATACTCAGGTTTATGGAAAAGTAAGGAAGCAGTTAATTATGATGTTTTTCCTTACAAACATTGCTAAATAATTTTTCTAATTATCAGAGAAGGAGGAACCTTTTCAATTGCTGGATGTTGATGTGTGCAGATTGTTATATAGTAGGTGCCCAATCCACATAATTAAAGGGAGTAAAGGTTATGGATTTTCAAGCACCTCTGGTCCTCTCTAAAGACTAGCATGCCTGTGGCCATGGGAGAGTTGGCTCTGATGTCCACACATCAGAATGTAAGACAGTAAAGACAAGGGCTCTGGCCATGTTCTTCAGAGAGGATATGCCTGGCTTTTATTTCATAATTAGATACATCTTCTGAGGTCACTGAACTCTACTCTAAAATGGCTTCCCCAGGGATCCCTGGGTGGCTCAGCGGTTTAGCGCCTGCCTTTGGCCCAGGGCGCGATCCTGGAGATCCGGGATCGAATCCCACGTCGGGCTCCTGGTGCATGGAGCCAGCTTCTCTCTCTGCCTGTGTCTCTGCCTCTCTCTCTCTCTCTCTGTGACTATCATAAATAAATAAAAAAAAATTAAAAAAAATAAAATAAAATGGCTTCCCCAGTCACAATCTGAGAAAATTATGCTTTGTCAATTAGAATATATTGCAGATCTTAATTTCTTGTGTAGAAGTTCTTAGGAGAAATGTAGCCTGTCTTAGCATTTCCACAAGCTACATAAAGAAAGCCTTGAGTGCCTGTGTCATGATGGAGTGGAACACTTGCAAAGATGCCATTAGTTCTATTGTCCTCTTTATGGATTACCATCCCATTCCCCCCCTCCTGGGGTTATGTGTCTTCCCCATTGGGGCAGTCCCCAGTAGTCAGTGAATAGACATTCAGACCCAATACTAGACTAGCTGATGGCAAACTAAGGCCGCTGTTTGAAAGATTGGAGCTAGTAGCACTAAGGAAAAGAGGAACTACCAGAGTCATATCCTCTGAGGCTTTCAGCAGATGGAGGTGAGAGTTTTAGGCACAACAGAGAAGCAAGATACTACATCTCAAGTACTACTTCTAAGACTGGAATAATTTCTGGGATGCCCGACTGGCTCAGTTGGAAGAGCATGCAACTCTTGAGCTGGGGGTCATGCATTTGAGCCGCACATGGGGTGTAAAGATTATTTAAATAAATAAAGCTTTAAAAAAAAACCCTTGAAACTAGTTCTTCTTTAACTTGCCTTGGTGTCCTCTGGGCATTCAGTAGTAGTAGTATTCCACTTATAACCAATAGTTAGATCTACATATTGTCTCATAGCTTCAGTTTCAGAAGATGAATGGCATCTCTGCTGAACTTACAGAGACTTGAGATTTTTCCCTAGAACTGTGACTGGTTCCCAGACACAGTTCAGAACATTATGTTGCTCATGGCCTCCTTTTTATCCTTTGAGTAGCATTGTACTTACTGCCTGATGATGAGGTAAAAATAACTTAAAGATGTTTTCAACCATGCAATTCGTTGACTAGTTTGCTGAAGGAATATTTCTCTACCCAGCTAGAAATAATTCATATACTTCTCTTTCATTGGCTAGATGAATTGCAACTTAAAATTGACCCCAAATTTCACTAATTAAAACAGAGCAGATGCTAGGATAATGGGCAGGTTCCTTGATGAAATCTGGTTTATTTTACATTTGAGTTGGTCAAACATTAATAGCTTTTTCAAAGACCCAGAAAGAGAAGGGGAAGTTTAAGAGAACAATAGTGACTAAATAGATGGTGGGGCAGGAGGGGACATGGTTTCATCCACAAGTCTGTTTTCTTTTTGAAGTTATCCTCTACTAAATTATATTTATAGTTTTGGAATCATAAGCTGCACATCCAATTTTTGATTAGAGATGGTAGACTGGTTGGCCTGTGAGCCAGATATGGCTTGCAGGTGTGTTTTGTTTGGCCTGCCCTGTGTGTTAAATTCTGAATAAAGTCAACATTTAAAACTAAGGAGTTTTACATAAAAAAATCTGAATTTTCCCATTTCCAACTTTGAAAATACCAGATCTGGCAAGCCTAGGCCTGCATTTCCTAATAGTGATGGTTAGCTGGAGCCAGGATGCAAATTTTGTAGATAAATAATGTACTTTATATGAAATTTAAAGATGTAAAAAATATTCTGCATGAAAAGGAAATCTACACTTGTCCCTTACCACCTAGTTTCCTTTCTAGAGACAAATACTGTTGTTGCTTTTTTACCCAAAGTTATTTTTTAAGTGATATTCTCCATTTAAACAATGTTCTCAAGTGAATGACCCTAACAAAGGTATTAGAATTTGCAATCCTGGGGCAGCCCCCGTGGCCCAGTGGTTTAGCACCGCCTTCAGCCCAGGGCCTGATCCTGGGGACCTGGGATCCAGTCCCACAGCAGGCTCCCTGCATGGAGCCTGCTTCTCCCTCTGCCTGTGTCTCTGCTTCTTTCTCTCTCTGTGTCTGTCATGAATAAATAAATAAAATCTTTAAAAAAAAAAAAAAGAATTTGCAATCCTTATCTTAGAAAAGGATCATTCTTTTTCCTTTTTGTTTTTTAAGATTTTATTTATTTATTCATAAGAGACACAGAGAAAGAGGCAGAAACATAGGCAGAGGGAAAAGCAGGCTCCCTGTGAGGAGCCCAATGCAGGACTTGATTCCAGGACCCTGGGATCACGACCTGAGCTGAAGGCAGGTACTCAAACACTGAGCTACCCAGGTGTCCCCATTATTTTTCTTAAAAAGCTTTAAATGGGGCTGTAGGTTTTTTTTTTTTAATTAAAAAAATTCTTGTCATTTTATTTCCTCTTATTTTCTATCATAGTAAGTGTACTCTTTCATCCCCCACCCCCATTTCACCCATGCCTCCACCTACCTCCCCTCTGGTAACCATCAGTTTTTTATAGTTAAGAGTCTGTTTCTCAGTTTCTCTCTCTCTCTCTCTCTCTTTTTTTTTTTTTTGTTTGTTTTTGTTTCATTATTTAAGTTCCACATATGACTGAGATCATATGCATATTGGTATTTGCCTTTTTCTGTCTGACTTATTTCACTTAGCATTATATTTTCTTGATCTATTCATGTTGTTGCAAATGGCAAGATTTCATTCTTTTTTTTTCATGGCTGAATCATATTCCACTGTAATTTTACCACATCCTCTTTATCCATTTATCTGTCAGTGGATACTTGGGCTGCTTCTGTAGTTTGGCTATTATAAATAATGATGCAGTAACCATAGGAGTACATGTATCCCTTTCAATTAGCATATTTTATTTTTGGGGTAAATACCCAGTAGTGTGATTAATAGATTGTAGGATAATCCTATTTTTAATTTTTTGAGGAATCTCTATAATTTCCATAGTGACTCCATCAGTTTCCATTCCTACCATCATTGCATGAGGGTTCCTTTTTCTCCATATCCTTGCCAACACTTGCTGTTTCTTATGTTTTTTATTTTAGCCATTCTGACAGATGTGAGGTAATATATCATTGTGGTTTTGATTTGCATTTCCCTGATGATGAGTGATATTGAGCATCTTTTGATATGTCTATTAACCATCTGGATGTCTTCTTTGAAGAAATGTCCATGTCTTCTGCCCATTTTTAAATTGGATTATTTGGTTTTGGGGTATTAAGTTGTATCAGTTCTTTATATATTTTGCATACTAACCCGTTATTGAATATGTGATTTGCAAATATCTTCTTACATTTGTAGATTGTTTCCTTAGTATTGTAGAGTGTTTCCTTCACTGTGCAGGAGCTTCTTATTTTGGTGTAAACCCAATAGTTTATTTTTGCTTTTATTTTCCTTGCCTCGAATATAAAAATTAGTGAAACAGAATAAAGGGAAAGGAGAGAAAATAGGTGAAAATATCAGTGAGGGTGACAAAACATGAGAGACACCTTACTCTGGGAAATGAATACGGGGTAGTGGAAGGGGAGGTGGGCAGGGGGCTGGGGTGACTGGGTGATGGGCACTGAGGGGGGCACTTGGCAGGATGAGCACTGGGTGTTATCTATATGTTGGCAAATTGAACTCCAATAAAAAAAATTTTTAAAGAAAATATTTTCCTTGCCTCAAGAGACATATCTAGAAAATGTTGCTATATTCCATATTGGAGAGATTACTATCTGTGCTCTTGTCAAGGATTTTTATGATTTCAGGTCTCACATTTAGATCTGCAATCCATTTTAAGTTTATTCTTGTGTAGGGTGAAAGAAAATGATCCAGTTTCATTCTTTTTCATGTTGCTATCCAGTTTTCCCAAAACCATTTGTTGAAGAGATTTTTTTTCCCATTGTATATTCATTCCCCCTTTGTTGAAGATTGTATAATGGGTTTATTTCTGAGGTGTGTGTGTGTGTGTGTGTGTGTGTGTGTGTGTGTTTAAAGGTTTTATTTATTTATTCATGAGAGACACGGAAAGAGAGAGAGGCAGAGACACAGGCAGAGGGAGAGGCAGGCTCCATGCAGGGAGCCCGACGGGGAAGTCGATCCCGAGTCTCCAGGATCACCCCCTGGGCCAAAGGCAGCGCCAAACTGCTGAGCCACCCAGGCTTCCTTATTTCTGAGTTTTCTATTCCACTGATCTGTTTCTTTTTTTATGCCAGTACCATACTGTTTTAACTGCTACGACTTTGTAATGTAACTTGAAACATGGAATTGTGATACCAATTTTGCTTTTCTTTTTCAAGATTGGTTTGGCTATTTGGGGTCTTTTGTGGTTCTATACAAATTTTAGGAATGTTTAGGGGTGCCTGGGTGGCTCAGTTGGTTAAGCATCTGACTCTAGATTTTTGGCTTGGGTCATGATTTCAGGGTCATTGGATTGAGCTTTGCATTGGGTTCTGTGCTCAGTGCAGAGTTTGGCTGGGTTTCTCTCTCTCCTTCTCCCAACCTCCCACCAAAATAAATACATAAAATCTTTTTTTTTTTTTTAATTTAGGATTGTT